GAAGGCATGATCGACCTACCCCGGAGAGAGGCCTTCGTGTCGGAGAGGGGCCTTCTGGTCCTGCAGGCCCAGGGAAGCAGAGGGAGGTGAGGGCGGGGCCAGGCCCAGAGTCTATTTTTTTATTTTTATTTTATGTATATGAGTATTTTCCTTGCATGTATGTAAGTGGACTACGTGCATGCAATTTCCACAGAGGTCAGAAGATGGTAACGGATCCCCTGAAGCTTGAGTTATAGATGGTTTTAGTTGCCATGTAGGTTCTGGGAATTGAAACCAGGTCCTCTGCAAGTGGAGCCAGTGCTCTTCACCATGGAGCCATCTCTCCAGCTTTCCATGTTCCTTTGTGACCGAATCCCTCATTAACCTTGGAGTTTTCTGATTTGGCTAGACTAGTTGTCCAGCATACTCAAGGGATCCTTCTCTCGCTGCCTCCCCAGCTCTGGGATTACAGACATGTACCATCATCATGTCCAGATTTTTTACATAGATTCTAGGGGCTGAAACTTAGATCCTCATACTTGTACAGCAAGCACTGTACTGACCAAGCCATCTCCCAAGCCCGGTGTTGTGGCTTTGTTAATTGAAGCGATACTAATGTTATCATGTACTGATTACTTACTAGGTGCTGAAGCTAGGCAGGCATTTTTCCATTTCTGAAGCTGAAGAAGCTGGGGCTAAGAGGCGTGCAGCAGCATGCCTCCAGTTACACAGAGCTCAGGGGCTGGGCTTGAGCTCACTTGCCTTTGTACCCTGGTATCTGGGACATGGTGGACTGAGTGAGTGGGTCTCAGACTTCCATTGACAGCTCTAAGTTCAGAGTCAGCAGGCCATCTGAGGATGCCAGGGTCTTCCCCAGAGGTCTATGGCTGGGTTGCCTCATGGAAACAGAGGTGGGTGAGAGTGTTGGGGTACATGTGATCAGAGGGTGGCTGCTCCTTACTCCCAGGGAGAAAGCACGAGGTATAGCAAAGAGTCTTCAGTGCCTTGCCTAGAACTGCAGGCAAATCTTGATTCTGCTTTTATTTTCTGGGCCTACTCCAGAGTCCTGGTGAAAATCTCTAAATTTCACTCCTTAGATTCTGCCAAAGCTGTTGCTTCCCTGGTATGTCCTTCTAGGGTCCTACCCAAGGGTCTGCAGGAGCCACAGGTGAGATGATGCCAACCCTCTCATTTAGAGCTGCCTTGGTCTTCGAAACAAGTCCAGACTCTGTATGCCTTTGAGGACTCCTATATGGCTGTCACTATCTTTCCAGGTTGGGCTTCTGGGTCCCCAGACTCTCAGGTGCATTTGTCACTCTATGCCTGAGTTTTGAATGCCTTTCCTTGTTCTGACCCATGGAGACCCCATGCCCTTTGGGCTCAACAACAGTGCTGTCTATCCATAGAGCAACTCCAGCTGACCTAGTCAGACAACCATGCAGATCCCCTTGGGTGCCCAGCTCTGCAGCAGAAATGCAACTGGCCTCCAGTGAGTCTCCCCTGGTTCTTCTGGGTATGACAGTGTATGTTCACTTCTCCCGCCGAGTGACAGTGAACATCCACTCCCTCCTCCTTGTCCTACGGTGAGATTTGTTTCTCCTGCCTGCATGGATTCACGGTGAGACCTGGAAGAGGTCAAAAGTGATGTCCAAACTAGGTGTGGTGGAGTATGCCTGGAATCCCAACACTCAGAAAGCTGAGGCAGGAGGATCTTGAATTCTAGGCTAGCCTGGTCTACTTACTGAGCTCCTGTCTCAAAAAAAAAAAAAAAAAAAAAGCTGGGGGGATGCTTGAAGATTGGGCTTCCTTCTCCATAGATGCATGGCTCCTTCATGTAAAGAATACTTATGTCACTTGGTCTTTATGTCACCCCTGTAGGGGTGGAGAGCTGGCTCCACTGTAATTTTAAAGATTGTGCGAATGAACATTTGTGTTCTCTCCAGAGCCTTCCCCTTGATCTGCTGCCTGTGCTGTTTACTGTTCTCTTTGGGGCAATTTTCTGTTCAGTTCCTGGGAGACAAGGTGGGCACAGAGCATGCCTTGGCTCCTATGGTCTGTGAAAGAAAGGGCACAGGAGCATTGGACTTTGTCCTTGGGGCTGACACTCTCCTGGGCCAATCCTAGGTTTGTTTCCCTTCCACTTGAAACTTGAGTCCCTTATGTCACTTAGCTTCATTCCTGCAGTATTCTCTCCAGAGCCTTCCCCTTGATCTGCTGCCTGTGCTGTTTACTGTTCTTTTTGGGGCAATTCTCTGTTCAGTTCCTGGGGGACAAGGTGGGCACAGAGCATGCCTTGGCTCCTATGGTCTGTGAAAGAAAGGCACAGGAGCATTGGACTTTGTCCTTGGGGCTGACACTCTCCTGGGCCAATCCTAGGTTTGTTTCCCTTCCACTTGAAACTTGAGTCCCTTATGTCACTTAGCTTCATTCCTGCAGTGCGGGTCACCATGGAACCCCTGTAGCCATAGCTTTAAGGGAAGGAGCAGACAACAATTATTTACCTGAGCTGGGAAACTGAGGCTGAGAGTAGAGGAATCAGGCATTTGGAGGCAGATGGAGCATTGAGAACAAAATCCTGGTCAGAATCCGCTGACTTGTTGAGCCCCTTAGGTCAAGGCTGGCCGTTCTAGTAGACAGAGTAACACCTTAGTGGCTAGAGTGGTGCCATGTGCAAATGGGACCTCAGAGAATTCTACCTTTGTGACAGAGGCTGAGCGACATCTGTGGTAAGTCCCAGAGCACTTCCATGTGTACTAGAATTCTGCATTCTGACTTTTGTCTTTGGGACAGGGATCTTTGAGTGCCCATCACTCCCTGGGCCTGAGTGATCTTCCTGGGGAGACGCCACTCCTGACTGTCACACAGGACATGGCTGCTTGTCCATAGTCACTGTGGCTTCTTCCTCTTGGGCAGGTGCCTGGGAGACCCTATTCTGTGACCCTGAGGAATCAAAGATGCAGACCTGACAAGGGCTTGGCAGGGCTGCTTGATAGCTATACCATGGCAAGCTACGGGAGACACTGAGTTTATTTTCTGCACTCTGGCATCCCCAGGGACATGGAGGAATGGGGTTGCTTCAGCCTGTGAGCACTCTGACTTTCAGGAGGTGGCAGGTGAGGACAGTTGTATTCACCGGGCATTGTAGTAACAGGGATATGGAAAGCTACACATTCTGTGTTCTGGGCAGCTCCATATTGTTCAGAAAAGAGCATTTTGGGCAAACTGAGGCAGGAATAACTACCATGACAGCCTAAGGTGAGAGAGAGGGTTAAGCTCTTATTATAGAACAAACTTGAACTGCAGCCCAGTGGCTCTCAGTCCTGTCTGACATCAAAAATCACTTTGGAGTTACAACAAAAATATATTCTTGTAGCCTGTTCACTAGAATACTCTAATTCAGAGGGATGGGGCTGTGGCGGGGTGTTGGAGTCTGTCATTTTAATCAGTCTCCAAGTGGATCTTTAGTCATAGTTGAGAACAGGGATAGACATAAATACGGCATAGCTATCTAGAGTGTTCATAGAAATTGTATCCTCTGGGGTTGGGGGAAGGGGGAGAGATGAGAGATGAGAGAGAGAGAGAGAGAGAGAGAGAGAGAGAGAGAGAGAGAGAGAGATAGCATGTAGGGCCTACAACTCTCTTGGGTTCCAGCCAGTGCCCTGTAGCCTTTAATTTATGCACAGAGAAGTCCTGGGCCTTGCAGGGGAGCCAGCTGCCTGGCCAGCTCTCTAGCCTCTTCCCCATCTTGCTTTGTTGAAGTTTGGGATGTGGGTTTCTCTGGAATAGAATCTTCAGCGCTATCTTGGAAGAAGTGCTGTGTCTCAGACTGTGGCTACTGTCACTACGGTGTGGTTAAATCCTTCTTACCCTAGTAGTCACCTGATGGGACTGCCTAAGGAGAATTCTCTGGGGAAGGAGAACCCAAGTAGCTAGAGGTGCTAATCAGGGAGACTGGGCTGGGTCAGGGCTGGGCTAGAGCAGAGCTGGGCTGGGCAGCTGTCTGAGCCTTGCTCAACCTGTTGGACCAGGAGTTGCCAGGTACTGCTTTGCCTTCTGGGGCCAGGGTGGGGCCTGTGGTAGGCTGGCTTCCAGGCAGAAGGTGTATTGCTCAGTTCCTGAGCTGGGATTTGTTGTTCAACCAAAAGAAGCTGGCTGGTATCCTGACCTATCCCCAGATGGTATCTGGAGGGACGTGCTCTCTGGAGTAGACACTGGGAGATGCGAGTTTTACCTTGGACTCTGCCACTGATGGGATCTGGCTGTCCCTGATCCCTACCTGTTACCCTGTTTCAGCAAAGAATGCTTAAAACTGTGTGGACTCCCAGAGCTTGCAGTGAGAGCCCTGTCATGGGGAAAATGAACGGTTAAGGGCAAGAGCTGATGGCTGACCCCAAAGAACTAAGGGAGGTGGGGAAAAGATTCAGAGTGGTCAAGCTGAGGTGATCACGATGGCCAAGGTGGCCGAGAGGGTGAGAGGTGGCTTGTTCAGTGAGGTGAGAGCTAGGCTGTGCACTTCATATAGGCGGTAGCAGGTCCAATGTAAAAGCAACATGGAGCACCAGTGTTGGAGAGACCCCGCCAACACCCTGAGGTTGAGTCGAGGCTCAGCGTCCATCACAGGCTTGCAGGCAGCTGGCAAATGAAGGGCTTTGGAAGAAAATAGAAAATATGGAAAAGTGCCAGTTACACCTTCACCAAGCACTAAAGTTGTCCACTGTTCAAGTGCAAGGATGACAGACAGGTTGATTGGGTTCCATTGACATTCCTAATAAACTTTTCTTCAGGATCATGTGGCTTCAGGACTTGGAAACTTGGACATTTCTGAGAGAGTGCAAAGGTCAGCAAAGCCACCAGGGTATTCAGGTCTGGTCAGACGTTAGCTCCGGTGGTGGCTCTCTGCAAAGTGATTCTAAAGTGTTTCTCTCTTTGTTTTTTTCACACAGGTCCCTGGATGTCACAGGGAAGAGCCTTCTGGACCCCTGCCTCCATACGGCCTGGCGGGCACCTTCCCTACCTAGGGCATGGGCACCCGTGAAGATGTTCCTTCAGGTAGGGCCCAAGGTGTTTGACAGACTGGAAACTTTCTTTGATGCCACCAGAGGTCATGTTGTGCTGGAGAGACGCAACCAGGCTCATACTGTGTGCTAACACTGGCTGTCCAGACTATGCTGGCTGTCTGCAGGGTTCCCTGGCTTCAGGGTACAGAGTACTCTGGAGGCTCAGCCTGAACTGTCTCTACTCTGAGGCAGGGTGGTTTGGTTCTTTGAAGGTAATGCCATCTGGTGGTTGAGAGTGTGTGGGTGGGCAAGAGATGCTGACACTTAGGGTCAGGAGGTGGTCAGGCCTGGCTCTGCCTCTGGAGGCCAGTTATGGGTGCTCAGGTTTTCTCTGGGAACTGAAGGGATCAGGCCTCCCCAGATTAAAATGGATGCTTGTCAGGTACAGAGTTGCTGTTTAACCTTGGAGGGGGCCAGGTAACCTTAGGAAGGAAGGTTGAGACCCAACACCCCAGAGTGGAGCAGCCAGGAGAAGTGTGATGCTCAGGCAGTGTGCCATGGGCTTTCACATAGGAATGCCACCATGTAATTCATAACTAAATCTGATCTCATCTGACCTCAGTCTATTGGAGAAGAGAAAGGGGGTAGAGCCTAAGAAAAATCTACAAATCTAAGAATAGGATGAAGATGTTTCTGAATCCTGGTGCAACCCAAATGCTTGTTTTGCTTATGTGGGAACTGAGTCTCAGAGAGGTTGGTTTATTTTCTCAAGGACCTACTGCAACAGAAATAGGAACAACACAGACTCCTGAGTCTACCCTGGGGCTGTCTCAATGTGGGAGGTTAGCTGAGATTCCCCCTGCGTGTGGGCTTCTCTGGAGACAGGTTAGGTCCTTAGGTGGTTCTGAGGTGTGCTTGGGAGGGGCTGAGCCAAAAGGAGGAAGGCCTAATGACATTTGTCAAGTGCCTACTGAGGGGTGGAGGTATACCTAGGGCTATGGGTAGATAGGGGAGGGGATGGGGGAGGGATTCTTAAAGGAGAGATCTTTTAGCTAATTTCCTCTCCTCAGGGTTCTGCTTTGGTTCCTCCCCTGCTAGGAAGCCTTCTCACCCCTGTCCCTCACTAGGGCTCACAGGCTTCACATTGAGCGGTTGCTTGTGCCTCATTGTCCCACACAGGCCTTGCAGTCTTATGGAGGAAGGCTGGGGCAGCCTTGCCACCTCTGTATGTCAGTTTGCACAGGTCAGAATCCATACACAGAACAGGTGTGAATGGAGCCAGTTTCGGGGTAAAGGGTGTCATCTCCTCAGTGCTTGAGGTCCCCTAGGAGTGGGGTAGGCAACAGATGTTCTGAACTTATGTCAACATCAAGGCTTCTCCATAGTGGGTGGCAGTGGGGAGGTGACCCAGTGAGAGCAGTGAGATGCACTGTGACAGAGGCCCAGGCTGTGCACAGCAGGACTCAGTGTCATTGGGTGCAGGAGGTGGGGACTTCTTGAAGGAAGCTGAAAAAGCATGGTTGTGGGTGGGGGTGGGTCAGCCCAGTGCTGGAGGGAGATGGGGGAGAGGGAGATAGGGGGAGAAAGAGAGCGAGAGAGAGGAGGGGAGGGGAGAGGGAGAAAGCAGGCAGTGTGATGAGAGGGGAGTGCAAGTAGACACTGGAATTCTCAAGGTTGGTAGGATTTGGTGGATATTGCAGGCACCCTGCCTTGTCGGTATTCCCATCTGTGGGCTGGGTTCTGCTATGAGGACTGGGCCATTACATGTCCTTGGTCCTTCAGGGAGAGGCTCTAAGGGGCAGAGTGGTGGTGGGTTATGATGCTGCCATTCTTCGGTTATGTCCTGGTCCTGGTCCCAGAGGACTCTAATGTGCCATTCTCCTGTGATTCTGTCCCCAGCCGAGGTCCTGGCTCCAGTGGCTGTGTACTGTGGGAGTGTCCCTCGGACCAGTGTTGGCCTCAGAGTGCCCCTACCTGGAAGCTCCAACTCTAGTCTGCCAGATTCTGATGAAGGTGAGACAGGAGGACCTGGCCTGGTGACTTGGTCACACCAAATGGCTTTAGTGGCCTCTTCGAGGACTTTGGCTGGGGATGGAGAGCCCTCCCAGAAATTGCCCAGTCAAGGCCACAGAGCAGAGCTTGGGCCCAGCCTGGAGGAGAAAGTGAGGGTGCTGGATGCCTGGGCATTCTCAAACTACAGCAGGTATTTTGTAATGTAGCATCTGCTTAAAATGCCCTTTTTGGGGCTGGAGAGATGGTTCAGAGGTGAAGAAAGAGCATAGGCTGCTCTTGAAGAGAACCTGGGTTGGGTTCCCAGAACCTACATGACAGTAACAACTGTCTATAACTCCAGTTCCAGGGGATTCTACATCCTCATCTGACCTCCGCAGGCACTACAAGACACTGGTGTACTTACATACATGCAGGCAATACACTCATACACATAAAATGAAATATAATGAATAAAAAATATTTTAAAAAATAAAATATTAAAAAAACTATCCTATAAGTGCCTGTAACTATAATTCTGGCACTTTGGAGGAGACAATAGAGTCAGAGTTCAAGGTCTGCAGCTACGTAATGAGTTTGAGGCCAGCCTGGGTTACCTGTCTTTAAAAAAATCCAAAAATAAAATAAATTTAAAGATGAAAAACCATCCATTTGCAACCATTTAAACTTGATGACAAAGACATTTATTATTTATTTATTTATATTTATTTATTTATTTAGTCTTTTTGAGACAGGGTCTTCCTGTAGCCCAGCTGGCCTGGAACTCACTATGTAAACCAGGGTGGCCCTGAACTCACAAAAATCCACCTGCCTCTGCCTCCTGAATGCTGGGATTAAAGGTGTGTGCCACCATGCCTGGCTCAACAAAGACATTTATATACCAACTTAAAAGATATGAAGTGCCAAGATAATGATGCTAGCAAGCCCGAGGCCTCTTCAGCAGAGCTCTGGTCTCCTCCTTTATCTTCTTGAGGACAGAGCTCTAAGGTCACTGGATCTATACTCCAAGATCACACACAGTTGCAGCTAGCACATTTACTTAAGAAAAGACAAAACCAAACTGATATAACTAAATTTCCCTTCTTTCTTCTTCTGTCTCTCCTCTCTTTGATTTCATGTTACCAATTAGGGGTGTTATTAAATTTATGTTTTGTTAAAAAAAACTCATTTTAGAAAATGAAACAGCTTGAAAAACATGCTAAGTTTACAGAATTAAAATTGCACTCACTAAACAGCAAAAAAAAGATATGAAGCGATGCATAGCCTGCCTTCCTTCCTTCCTTCCTTCCTTCCTTCCTTCCTTCCTTCCTTCCTTCCTCCCTCCCTCCCTC